AGAGATACTGAGAGCTCCCTGCACAGATGAGGAAACATTAAACCAACTCAGAATCTGTAAGTGCCTGGGAGGTGTCTCAGTTCATTATTGTCCCTAGCAGGGGTCATATCCTCAGGATAATCATAGCTCATGGCTTCCTATAGATCCTAGCAGATACCAGGCTGTAGCTTCCTCCCTTCCCCCTGTGAAGTTGGATGGGATGTGAAGGCTGAATTGATCCCCTCCTCTCTCCTATTTGGGGGAGTTCAGTTCCTGATTTTTATTTGACCTCTCTCCAGCACTTGTTTTGGTTTGGTCTTCCCCTTTCCATCCCTGTTTGAGGTTTCTGTCTGTATCACAGCAGGTGATGCAATGGTATGTGAGAAAGAGGAGCAGAATTCTCAGCAGGAAAATGTTGAGCAAGTGGATAAACACAGAGCATTATCGCAAACATGGAAAAGGAATGTGTCCAGCAGTCATGAGCAGGGAAAATCCTGTGAGATTCAGCACAGACAAGAAAGAGAGCAGGGAAACCAGCCAGGAGAGAAAGTGGGTACATTTATTTCCTGTCGGGGAACTCAGAAGGGCCTCAAGGAAACCACAACACAGCAGGAAATCCTCAGGGGAAAGAGGAAAAATACATGCACTGAGTGTGGGAAAAACTTCATTCGCAGATCGGACCTTTCTGATCATCAGAGAATCCACACAGGGGAGAGGCCCTACAAATGCAGTGAATGCGGGAAAAGCTTCACTAACAGATCAGGTGTTTTTCAACATCAGAGAATCCACACAGGGGAGAGGCCCTATGAATGCAGTGAGTGTGGGAAATGCTTCACTAACAGCTCAGCCCTTTCTGAACATCAGAGAATCCACACAGGGGAGAGGCCCTATGAATGCCGTGAGTGTGGAAAATGCTTCACTCACAGATCAGCCCTTTCTCAACATGAGAGAATCCACACAGGGGAGAGGCCCTATGAGTGCAGTGAGTGTGGAAAATGCTTCACAAACAGCTCAGACCTTTCTAAACATCAGAGAACCCACACAGGGGAGAGGCCCTATGAATGCAGGGAGTGTGGGAAAAACTTCACTTACAGATCAGTCCTTTTTCACCATCAGAGAATCCACACAGGGGAGAGGCCCTATGAATGCCGTGAGTGTGGGAAAAACTTCACTCACATATCAGGCCTTTTTCACCATCAGAGAATCCACACGGGGGAGAGGCCCTATGAATGCCGTGAGTGTGAAAAATGCTTCTCTACCAGCTCAGCCCTTTCTGAACATCAGAGAATCCACACAGGGGAGAGGCCCTATGAATGCAGTGAGTGTGGGAAAAAATTCATTTACAGATCAGGCCTTTTTAACCATCAGAAAATCCACATAGGGGAGAGGCCCTATGAATGCCGTGAGTGTGGGAAAACCTTCAAGTGCAGCTCGCACCTTATTAGGCATCAGAGAATCCACACAGGGGAGAGGCCCTATGAATGCAGTGAGTGCGGTAAAACCTTCACTCAAAGATCAGGCCTTTTTCACCATCAGAGAATCCACACAGGAGAGAAGCCCTATGAATGCAGTGAGTGCGGTAAAACCTTCACTCAAAGATCAGGCCTTTTTCACCATCAGAGAATCCACACAGGAGAGAAGCCCTATGAATGCAGTGAGTGCGGTAAAACCTTCACTCAAAGATCAGGCCTTTTTCACCATCAGAGAATCCACACAGGAGAGAAGCCCTATGAATGCAGTGAGTGTGGGAAAAACTTCACTCACAGATCAACCCTTTCTGATCATCAGAGAATCCACACAGGTGAGAGGCCCTATGAATGCAGTGAGTGTGGGAAAAGCTTCACTCAAAGATCAAGCCTTTTTCGCCATCAAAGAATCCACACAGGTGAGAGAACCTATGAAAGCAGTAAGTGTGGGAATACCTTCTCTTAGCACTCAGCCCATGTTAGCCATCAGAGAATCTGAAAGGGAAATCAAGACCATAAAAACCTCTAGGACTATCAATACTTTTTTTTCTTTAATACTTTTTCTGATTCCCACATAGTAACTTGTAAAGCTGTTTGAACTATTTGCAGCACCGTTATCCCTCAGCTTGTCCAGATGAGTGGCCCATATTTCCTTTTGCAGTTCACCCTGTTTTGAAGTGGCCCATTTGTCCTTTCTATCAACGCCATTGTCCCATGAGTAATTCGAGTGTGCCCTTCCTATCAGGAGCCAGGGAACATCACATTTATACCATTCCTCCTATTACAAAGTTATTGTTAGAGTAACCAATGATACAGATTGTATCATTGCCAGTTGTTCTCACGTTACTCTTGGTTGTGCTGAAGAGCAGTTATATTGGGACCTTTTCAAATTATATTTAAATTAAGAGGAGCAGAGGCAGGAAAAAAAAGGTGTCATTTCAGCCTCTGTGACACTGGAAGGAGACGGGGTGACTCAGAGATTCCTTCCTTCCCGTAACTATACAACTGTTACCTTTTCTATGAGCCATGCAGAGTTTATCTTCATCACATTCTATCCATCCACTTCTCAAAGTGTCATGTAAAGAAGCGTTCTCCGTTGTCTATGCATGGAAATGATGCTTTGAGTTCTTTAATCCTATACCAGAGTTGCTGTGACTGGAGATGAAAGTATCAAAGACCTGGAAGGGGAATTCAAATGGACCCCAAACACAGTGTGATCATTTGGAGTTTAAATCCCAGGTTCCATTTATTGGTAAAGCCACTTCTGGCAAGGTAGCTGTTCTGTCCCCCATTATAGGGATACAAGGATACTAAACATTTTGTAAGTAGTATAACTGACTATTGAGAAAGTGCTGAGTGAAGCTGGTTTCAATGAATTAGAGGAGAAAGTGATGGGAGAATCTGTTGTCCTGATTCTGAATAATCAGATGTAAACTGCTCTGGAGTTTCATTGTCATGTATTCTATCCATGTGATGTGGGTTTCTATATTTCCTGAAGGCTGTTTGGTCACCCAATTGGATATTAGTTCAGTTTGATAGGATGTAGCTCAGATTTATTGGAGACTGTGAGGGTTCATGCCCCTCCTTACAGGGCAGCACGGTCTAGTGGCCAGAGTCCATACAAGCGCCCCGGGTTGCAGGGCCGTAGGACCTTACTACTGGCTCAGCGAGGGGGTCCTACCGAAACACGCTGAGGCTTACCGGGGTCAAGGTACCAGTCCGTCACCTCCCCTGGGTTGCTCCCTACCGGCTGGGGAGTTGGGGTCTCCCACAGATCCCAGGGTTCTCCATGATTCTCCGGATCCGTCACCTCCTCTGGTTCCTCCCGCAGTAGGGGTTCGTGCCAGCTTGTAGAAGCCTCTGTTCCTGGCGGCTTCAAGAGTGTCGGCTGGTCCTCTGCAGGAGCTTCCCAATCAGGTCCTTCCCCTGCGGCCCCCAGCCCCTACTGAGCTGAGTTCCCTCCTTTTATACTCAGTGAGCATCTGGAGCATGCCCAGTACGAACGGGGTGGGACTTCCTCTGTCAGAGCTACTGGTCTGACGTCGCTGGGGCTAGTGCGGGGCGGGGCTACCCAGTCACACACCCTCCCCCTTAAGAGGGACCCCTCCGGTTGGCCCGCCCCCTCCTCCCCCTGTCTGGAAAAGAAGTCCGCGTTAGCGTGTTCCTTACCCGGGCGACGAAATATGCGGAAGTCATAGGGTTGCAGTGAGAGATACCAACGTAGTATCCGGGGGTTCGCGTCCTTCATGCTATTTATCCATCGTAAGGGGACATGGTCTGTGGTCAGCCTGAAGTTATTCCCCAACAGATAATAACGTAGGGCGTCGATGGCCCATCTCACTGCCAGGGCCTCTTTCTCTATTGTGGAGTACCGTTGTTCCCGGGGGAACAGTTTACGGCTTAAATACAGTATCAGGTGTTCTTCCCCGTCCAACTCCTGGGAGAGTACGGCCCCCAGGCCTACTTCCGAGGCATCTGTCTGAAGTATAAATTCTTTTGAAAAATCTGGGTATCGCAGGACCGGTTCATGAGTGAGTCATTCTTTCAGAACTTCGAAAGCTTTATCACACTCTTCTGACCACTGCACTTGTCGAGGCTGTGAGTTCTTTGTAAGGTCCGACAGGGGGGCGGCTATGGATGCAAAGTCTGGCACGAAGCGACGGTAATATCCAGCTAGGCCCAAAAACTGGCGCACTTGCTTCTTCGTCTTGGGGACGGGTACGTCTCTGAGGGCTTGCACTTTGCTGATTAGAGGCGTCAGTTTCCCACCCCGTACCGTATATCCGAGGTAGGTTACCTCCTCTTTCCCGAGGTGACACTTCGCCTGATTGGCTGTAAGGCCGGCTGATCGAAGTGCCTGCAACACCCCAGCCAGATGGCGTAGATGGTCCTTCCAGTTGTCGCTATAGACTACGATGTCGTCTATATACGCCGCCGCATACTGGTCATGAGGCTGTAAGACCTTGTTCATCAACCGTTGGAACGTAGCCGCGGCTCCATGTAGCCCGAATGGCATCGTTATATATTGGAAGAGGCCGAACGGGGTTGGGAAGGCAGTCTTCTCCTGGGAGTTTGGGGTGAGGGGGATCTGCCAGTATCCCTTGGTTAGATCTAAGGTTGATAAGTACCTCGCTCCCCCGAGCCGCTCCAACAATTTGTCCACCCGCGGCATCAGATACGCATCGAAGCGGGAGATAGCATTGACTTTTCGGAAATCAATACAAAAACGGGTAGTCCCATCAGGCTTTGGGACTAAGGCGATGGAGCTGCGCCACTCACTCTTTGATTCCTCCACAACCCCCATCTCCAGCATTGTCTCCAGCTCCATTTGGACGGTGTCCCACATCTTCCGGGGTAACGGCCGGTGGTGGTCTCTTACCTTCTGACCTGGAGTGGTTGCTATATGATGGCTCATTAGAGTAGTTTGCCCAGTGTGGGCGGATAAAACGTCGGGGAACTCCCCTGTCAATTGCTGTAGTTGCTCTCCCTGTATAGGGGCAAGGCCCACCCCTAATGTCACCAGCCTGGGGTCCGGGGGGTCCCCTACTAGGGGTCCAAGTTCTGATTCCGGGGTGGATGGGCCGATGAGCAGGGCTTCCCTGGTCTTCCAGGCCTTCAGAAGGTTTATGTGGTATATGCACGTATCCCTCCATCGCCCTGGTAGCCGGACCTTGTAGTCTACTGGTCCAATCCTCCGGATTACCTCGTAGGGTCCCTGCCATTTGGCTAGCAGTTTTGACTCGGCCGATGGTAACAAAAGCAACACACGATCCCCGGGACTGAAACTCCGTCCCCTAGTTCCTCGGTTGTAGAGGCGTTCTTGGTTCGCTTGTGCCTGTATCAGGTTCTCCCGGGCGAACGCCCCTAGCGTTCGTAGCCGTTCTCGGAGTTGCAACACGTATTGGGTGGTCCTGAGGACTCGGGTCTCCTGGGCTTCCCATTCCTCCTTCAGGAGGTCCAGGATCCCCCGGGGCTGCCTACCATACAGGAGTTCAAAGGGTGAAAATCCCGTCGATGCCTGGGGTACCTCCCTGATGGCGAACAGCAGGGCTGGCAACAGAGTGTCCCAATGCGTAGGGTCCTCCTCCATGAACTTCCTTAACATGGATTTGAGTGTACCATTGAAACGTTCCACCAGGCCGTCGGTCTGGGGATGGTAAACAGACGTCCGGAGGGTTCGTATATGGAGAAGGCGGCACAATTCTGCTATCAGTTTAGAGGACACGTTCGTGCCCTGATCCGTCAGGATTTCCTCCGGTATCCCGACTCTAGCAAAAATCTTCACTAGTTCAGTAGTGATCGCCGGCGCTGTGGCCATCCTCAGGAGTACGGCTTCAGGGTAACGCGTTGCGTAAGCCACTACCACTAGGATGAAGCGATTTCCTGTCTTACTTCTGTCCAGGGGTCCAACCAGGTCCATCCCAATCCTTTCAAAGGGTATGCTGACGACTGGCATAGGGATCAGGGGCACCCGGGCCAGACTTTTGGTCCCGCCCATTGGCATTCTGGGCAAGATGCGCAGTAGTCTCGCACCTCCCGGTGTATGCCAGGCCAGAAGAACCGACGAGCTATCCTCTGGAGGGTCTTTTCCCGCCCCAGGTGCCCAGCCCAGGGGTTAGCGTGGGCTAGACGGAGGAGGCTTTGTCGCAGCTTCCGAGGGAACAATAGCTGACGGAATGTGTCCTGGGCCTGCGGTTCCTGTACTACCCGGTGTGACATTGTGCAGTCTATATGGTTTTATAAAAACTTGATAATAAGTCAATATAATGTAACTGGGATAGTTTTAGAGAAAATACGGTAATAAGTGAATGTAACGTAACTGGGATATGCTTCATGCAAAAGGTCTCTTGTAAGGTAC